CCGTCCCTGTGCCAGTCTGCACCACCGGTGCCCTGCCACCCACCCGTACGCACAAAGACCTCCGGTCACGTTACCCGACGGCTTTTGGACCCCCCTCCCCCCCTCTGTGGCCCTGCAACCCAGAACGTCCAGTGCCTCTTGTACGAAGATTAGTGAACCTCGCCAAATCCTGTACCGGTCCACCACACACAGTAGAACATCACCACCACCGCTACCACCACCACGGCCGGGCCCCACTCACCACTCAACAGCCGCCAATCCCGATTCACACTCGTTGTGCACATACCAGCGCGCTCACCTCATTGGACGAGATATAGTCGACGCGAATTGCATTTCGTCGCATAGTCGCTCTCCATCATCACCAAGCCTCAGCCGCGTCTCCCTGGCCCACGGCCCAGCAGCTGCACCACGTTGAGACCAACATTCACTCGATGCCAATGCACAAACAGATCGTGATAGAGGGGACAGTTTCTTGCTTCCTTTGATTTTCTTTCTTGTGCCCCTCCCCACTTCTTTTTCGACTTGGGGAAGCCGCTGCATCTATCTCAACGCCCCGTCACCGCACCGCATCGCATCGCATCGCATCGCATCGCATCGCACTTGAGACCTGCAGTAGACCAACCTGTACAATCTGCAAACCCCCCATCTTGCGATCAGCACCACTTTATTCCATCAATCATCGCCAGGCTGAAGACACGGATTCCTCCCCCGCTCCATCTCAAGCGGCCAGTCAAGCTCGCCATGGCCGCGTCCAGAGACACCTCGATGAGGTATAGCTCCTCCCCCGAGCTGTCCGATCCTCCCTCGGGACTCTCAGAAACCACCTCGCCGACGCATTATGGCACCTCCAGAGCAAGGCATGCCGGCGAGGCGGCCGACGAGATCGTAGTCGACCATTCCCTCTACAGACTCGACCACTCCGGCCAGCCTGTCCTCACCAAGGACGGCGTTCCTCGAAGAAAACCCGGCCCCAAGCCTGGCACCAAGCTTGGCAAGCGCAACACCAACAGCACCAACCCAGACGGCTCGCCCGCCGAAGGGGCCAAGATTCGCCGGCCTAGGAAACCCAAGGATCCCAACGCGCCGCCCGTCCCGCGCAAGCGGAAGCTGGCTCCCACAGATCCCGACGCCGCTGAGCCGCACATCGAGGCTCGATCCGCGAGCATCGGCGCCGGGGCACCGCGGCAGACCAAGCTGACGGACATGGCAACGACGACGGGCCGGCTCGAACCCATGGCCCAGCCCTTGAAGCGCGAGAGCTCAGGTCCCCGCATGTCCAACATGTCCAACATCCTGAACGCTGATCCCGACCCGCAGCCGCTACCGGCCAGTGCTGCACCTTCCCGGTCCAGCGGCACCAACTACGACCCGATCCGGTCCAACTACGACCCGGTTCGCGGGACCATGGTCACCCACAGCTACTCCAACAACCCGCTGGGGTCGCCCCGCGCGCCCGCCAATGTCGTCAACCGCGCCAGCGCCTCGCCCTCGATTGCCAGTCTGGTCGACCCGCCGGTGCAGAACATCATCTCGCCCATCCCGACACATACTACCTTCGCCCAGAGCAGCGCGTCGAGGCCGCGCGAAGAAGCCAGCTCCATGCCGGACTCTCCCAACCCCTTCCTCACCCCGAAGGAGTTCGCACCGCCTCCTGCACTCAAGCCAGCGGCGCCCGAGGCAAAGAAGCCCCAAGTGCCCACGGTCACCAAGGCCCAGATCGAGATCCGCCCGCAGTCCATCACGACCATCGGAGCCGCTTCGAAACGCACTCCTCCCAAGAACCAGAGTACTGCCTCTTCGTCCCCAAGATTTGGTGCTCAGAAAGACCTCCCGGCCCTTCCGGGCGAAAACGGCCGCTCCATCCTGGACTTCGGCAGGGCTGAGCCTGGTACTGAGCAGGAGGTACCGTCCATCATCTTGGATATCTCTCTCAACGGCGAGAGCAACAAGTACGTCAATTTCATGCGCCTGGCCGAAGAGCGCTACGGTTGGGATACTCTGCATCCGCGCCAAGCTGAGAACCGGGCTCGGAAGGCCCGCATCGCCGCCGCCTCGGCGGCTCTTGCGCAAAACGACTCGGGTCGCGAGGGTGACGAGATGAGTGTGGACGAGTCCGACAACGAGGACAGCAACGTCGAGATGGGCGGCACCAGTGGCCCAGACAAGCCTGACGGCAAGATCAAGAAGAAGAAGCGACACTTCAAGGAGGACGAGTACGACCGGGACGACGACTTTGTTGACGACTCGGAAATGCTCTGGGAGGAGCAAGCCGCGGCTAGCCGGGATGGCTTCTTCGTGTACTCTGGCCCCTTGGTGCCGGAGCCCGAGAAGCCGGAGCCTGGACGGTACGTGACTCCTGTCTGCACCTTCACACTCGTGGTTCGTATGCTAACTTGATCTACAGGGGCGAAGGTCGACCGGCTCGAGGCCGCGGCTCCCGCGGTGGGCGAGGATCTGGGCGTGGCACCGGCACGACGCGTGGCCGCGGTGGCGGCCCTGGCTCGCGTGGCGGTGTAGTTCGCAAGCCTCGAATGACCAAGGCCGACAAGGCGCAGATGGATCGCGAGAAGGCCGAGCGCGAGGCCGCTTTCCTCAAATCGACAAATGGCGGCGGCAATTACAATGTTCTACACCCTGCTAGCCCGCAGTTCGCAGGCCTGTAGATCGACAACAAAATCCGACTTTGACGAGGCGCGCGACAGACAATGACGGGATGGGTCGTCTCCATCTGGACACGCCATGTCGGGCTCGAGAGTGCGTGCGTGCGTGCGTGGTGCAACTTCATGACACGGACGCGACCGCGGCCCCCCAAGGTCTTCGGACGACTAGGAGGTTCGGTACCCGACGACCGACCACGGGAGTAATGACTCCAACACTGTATGATTGTATCATAGAAACTTGATTTCGGCCCCGAGGACGGATTCACGACGCGCTCTGTGCTTGCGACGCATGGAGGGGGCGGAAGCAGCATAGCGAGTTTTGATATTGGCATTCCCGCCTTGCATGGATGGGAGGGCGGACGGACGGCGGCGTTCATGGCGTTGTGTGTTGCGTTGAGTTTGTGTCTCCTCCCTCTTTGAGGACTTTTGACAGCTTTGCGATACCACTTTTCATCATCGGCTAGGAATGGAACTGGCGGAGCTAGGATCGGTCATGGCTTGCATGCATCGCATCGGCAATGGCTTACGTCGGCTGTAGAACATGATAGACAAAGACAAAGTTGCATCCTTTACGAATTAGTTTTCCCTCGTGGCAATGCTCCTGGTGACTACCACATTGTGATACGTTTCATCGAGACATCCCGCAGCACAAGTCCCAGGGGTTGTGAAATTAGACTCGCGTTATGCCCGAGTTTTGCGAAGAACCCGGGCATGCTGCCGGACATTGCCTGCCAAGCTGGGCGAACAGGCCAGCGCTTGCATGATGAGCACTGAGTTCTACTGCATCTGGGAAACCGATCATGGCCCCAGCGCACATACCCAACAGCTGTGAGAAACTCCTATTTCCTTATTGGCTCTCATGGTTATCACGCACGGCTACGTCAAAGGCACCTTTGTGTACCCGCTCTCGTGAGGTAACGCATACACCCGGCAGTTAAGGTGCTCGGTCAACTGTGATTATGACTACGTTGCACTTACATATATCCTATGGGGCACCGAGGATCAGCTCCATATTGAGAGGTTCATATTGGGAGGTGGGCTGGCAATGCTAATCGCCGCCCCGAAAGGATATTCTCTGGCATTACTATTTAACCTGCTGCCAATCGCACCGAAATTAACCTGGCAACTTCCTTCGATCGGCTTTCTGGCATCATCTTGACATTGTTAAGACACGCTTAAGAACCACACTATGAAGCTGACACATCTCTTGCCAATGCTTCACCTCTGTCTCGCAACCACACTGGACTCCAAGTATCGGTGGCAGCCTGCAGGACCAAACGACTGTATATGCTCCTTTCCACAACTTTGCACTTCTCTGCAGACATCCCGATATCTCCTGGTCTATGGGTCGGGCCGCATACTGATGAAACAACTGGCATAGTCCGGGGACCCTGTCCTATGATGAACACGCTGGCCAACCACGGCTACCTCCCTCACGATGGGAGAAACATCACCTTGAACAATGCCATCTTCGCGCTTAGCACAGCCTTGAACTTTGATCCCGCGCTGGCCACAACCATGTGGGAGCATGCCATCGTTGCCAACCCGGAGCCCAATGCTACATTCTTTACTTTGTATGACTGTGTACCCTCGGTTTCTGGAATACTTGATGCTTTATCACCGGAACTAGTGATCACTAACAACGAACCAAGGGAAAACTTGAACCGACACAACGTCCTCGAGCACGATGCCAGCATGAGGTACGTAGTGTGGGCGCCTCACTCCCGCTGTTATCCCCCGGACCACCACATCACATCCAGCAGCGGGCTATAAGAGATTCTAACTCCTTGAAGTCGCTCAGACGCCCACTTCGGCAACAACCACATCTTCAACCAGACCATCTTCAACACGACACGGCGGTTCTGGACCGCCGAGACCCTGACCCCTGCCATGCTGGCTAATGGTAAGCTGGCGCGCCAGATCGAGTCCAGGGCCTTTAACCCAGATTACACGTTCACCGCTGTCAACGAGCAGTTCAGCCTCGGCGAGGTCGCCGCGCCGGTGATTGTGTTTGGGGACATGGAGGCTGGAACTGTCGATCGAGATTTAGTTGAGTTCTTCTTCGGTATGTTATCCCTTCCATTCTTGTCTGTTGAGGAGTCTTGCGAGGTCGCACCGTAGAGGTTGCTCATGGCGGAACAGAGAATGAACGGCTCCCTACTGAGCTTGGGTGGACGAAGAAGGTCGACCCGGTAATTGAAAACGATGTTTTGGGGGTGAGCAAGATGATCAGTGAAGCTACAAGCCTGCTCACGGGCTCTGAGAATGGTGTGAAGGTCATGAGGCAAGATCTACATTCTGGCATCAAAGTGAGTTTCTAGATGGCCTCGGGCCCTACCACAGTATATACGAGATGGATTCATGGGATGAAACACGCAAGATGCGACTGAAGTAAATTTTGATAAACATGAGGGATAGCTGTGGACTCTTCACTTTTGCCATTTTTTCTAGGGTTTCAAACACGTCTATAGCGGAAATATCAGAACCTTCACCACAATCTGGCACATGAACGTGACCGAATTCGACCGGTTCCATGATGTTCTCATGCTCATTGGACCTTCTTATTGTCGTGATTTGACTCCTATCATTATCGGTTACCGGTTTGGTTACGATTTCGCCTCGTTGTGGCAGCAGAGTTGTCTTCAGCTCTTCGAAGGGTGGACACGCCCGCAAGGCTGGACAGCTTCTAGTGGTTGCTGCGTCATATAATTTGAAGTTATGTGTACTTGAAAGAAGTATGGGCCCCCGTGGCAAATTTCTTAGGACATCGCGAGTTCAGTTGCTACATCTTGGGCTTCTTGCGAAGCTTTGCATCTACAACATGAGCTGGGCGTTCGCTACTCGTCTCGTGCCACCGTTCAATGCACACTTCAATTCTAACGGCGTGCAACAGCGAACCATCAAACAGGTACCCACATCTGCGGCCGGTGGCCAACGAAAACAAGAAGTACAAGATTCATTCGGCTAGTTCATCATCTAAAGACAGACAATAGAGTACGTGTTCAGCATAGAATTTAACACTAATGCATCTTATACTACATAGCCCGGCTACTCAAGTGGAAACGCCGTTTAAAGCTGGTTCGGCATCCCGAACGACACCTACGAAAGGGCTCTGCAAGCGCCGCCGTTTGGGGATGAGGCTCGCAAAGGTCATTCGGTCTCGCTAGACCTCAGGGATGGATAGGCTTTCGACGCATCTGCCTCGTTTCCAGCTCAGCTGGGGGAAGTGTCTTTTGACGGGAATGGCAATGGTAACACGAAATGAGAACATCCAAGAAGCGGACAAAGTAAAACCCGTCTCCCCGGCTATTTTGGGATGCTAGTCTTTAACTTTGCTCCTACGGAAACCGATTTGATAACCCATCCACATGACAACTTACAGCAACCTGATTCTGGCCAAGGTCTCGCTGGGTCCTAAAAAGCTTGAGAGTGCGAAGGAGGCAGGAGAGTTTGGCCGCCTTCTGCCCACAACCCATTGCTGTGACTAAATAATATCTACAGTCATGAAATATTATCAATTTGGATACAATGAATTCGGGGATAACTCTCAAACCGCGTGGAAATTGCCTTTATAGGGGCGACTTTAGCTGGCCCTTTGATACGCGGTTTAGCCACAGTATTACTGGAGGTTGATCCATGTACATCGAACAATGACCAGAGCGAATTTGCAGACTTCGAACAAGATTAATTCATGAAGAAAGTAGTACCTTCACTTCTACTCAGCTCTTGGAAGCGTTTCTGTTGACCATTCAACTCTGACGCGGAGTATCAGTCGGCAAAGCAGCAACACGGCCGGTCGGTGACTGGTCTCCCTGTCCCTCAGAGAGGTTGGTGCTCGAAACGCGAGAGAGATGCACTGCGCCGTAGGTAGTGTACATAAATTTCAGCATGTCTTCCCCTGTTACGATATGAGCACGTACAGACCAGACACAGGGATACCGGTAGTTCGGATGCGACAGTCTCAACAACCAACAGGCGAGAACAAACACGGAACAGAGGGAAGCAAGGGCACGTGGCTGGAGCATTGTGAGCACCACGGCCAAGAATGGTGATCCAGTGAGGCAGGACAAAACCACTGGAATCACGAAGGAGGGCACAAACAAATTGGTGGGCTAAGTGTGAATGAGTGGATGTATTAAGGATGAACTTTCCTAGCTACCTAAACGGTCAGCACCTCAGCGACCGATCTAAGCATCTATCTAACCTATAAGTGAAGCATATAAACCTTTAACGTTTTAAATGTGAATTCTTAAGAGTTCATACACTTATCAAGCTTAATTATCCAGATCTATTAGTCCCAAGTACAGAGGAGCATACCCTGTTAACGTAAAACCCAAAATTAAGTAAGGAATAGGTTTACTCCTCGCATAGGTCGGTTATTACAGTACCCACATGTTACAGGCTGTCTCAGGCCCAAGGGTATGGATAGTGTATTGGGTTGTAAAAGAGATGAAAAAGTAAGGTGCCTGCCTTTAGTAGACAGTGTGTACACGCAGTCACTATGTATAACCCGGGGGCCTGGCAGGCTGCGTAAAACAAATGGCGTGCATACGTATCTGCGGTCTGGTTAAAGAACTAACACATTTAATCGCCCCGTCACAAACTAGGCTAAAAGGCTCCGTTTATTAGGTTATTTGTTGTTTAACCCCTTGATACCTTCATCGCACCCTTCCAAGTTTGTCCCGGGCTCCTTGTGGATCTCCAAGGTTTCAATTTTTAAACACCGCACACCAGCCAGTCCGGCGCCCGTCTAGATTCCAAAGATCTGCTGGAAGACTCATCTCCCATAACTACGACCACCGTCGTTTTGAACAAGAATCTTACCCATCGCCCTGCCGCCCAAGTCACAGTTCATCTCGTGCCCCCATGGGATATGGTCTGCATGGAGCGCCCGGTAGTGCTTTTACCATTCTGCCATAGAAGTGAGCTCAAAATGGCTACGCATTCCCAGAACACACTGGAATTACCCCGTTCGCTGAAATTCTCGTTCGCTCTAATCCAAAGCATGTTATTCCCTAAGTCAGGCATTCTCGACAGATATTCTTCGCTGCATCGTGTACCAATCGACCGGTTGTCCCAACAATTGATCTGAGGCTTGAACTTCGTTTACACGAGGCTCTTGAAGACGTTTTAAGGCGGGGAGCCTGGTTTTCGGCCCTGTATCTGGACATTCAATGCTATTCGAAGTACCACATGTCCTGGAAGTCGGCCTGGTTCATGTGGTCGAATGTGGTTGGGTTGTAACACCGTGGCTCTCCTTGGAGACATTCCAATATGTTGTTATCAAGCTGTCGCCTGGCAGGCGAGAAAAGGGCTATAACCTATAGATACCCACATCTGCCAATGCCTCTTTAAGGCTAGTAACACTTGGCTCTTCCTTCTGGGTGAACGCATCGCACTCTTCCTGGTGTTGTACCTGATGATGCGACATCCTTTCCGCTGATGGCCTCGAGAGGATGAAGCCAGAGCCGTCATGGCCGAAGAGCACATTTTCTTTACTGATGTGTTTGCTGAGATTGTAGGGCTTCGTGGAGTCAAACTTAGGAAGATGCTTCATCGTTTTCTACTGTATAAAATATATGTCTCCATCAACAAACACGAACCACGTCAGGTCAGGTCGGTTACGAAGGACTCACTCCAATATTGGCCGAAATTTCCACTTGTTATACTTTAAACCAGTATTCTCTAAGGCACCGCCTGACCCACTTCCATATATGATAGTGTAGACTAGCCCGTTCACTCCTTAGGTGAGCATGTGATTGTTCAGCTCAAATTCTGTTGTGGCGTTCTTCGTGGTATCATCAACATCGGCTAGTTAAAGTATCGTGCATCAGATGTTTTCCAATGCACTCGTTGAAATCCTAGCGGATGATAAAGTCTGAAACGCATGGCATCACAGCTTCGAAATGGATTATAAGTTTTTCCCGTAATTCTCTGTCCTACCGTTCTCATCACAGCAGCAATACCGCTGGACGATGGAGATATTGGGTAAATGGCCTGGGGTGTAGTAGTGGCCATGCTCAAATCCTGTTAGAGGACGTTATCTTGTTAATCAGGATATGGAAGCGGTTACGTGGAGGCGATCACGAGAATCAGTACCAATGCTGTGAAATGGCGTCGGGCGCCTTTCTGCACGGGCGTGATCGGTTTGAGTATCAGCGCTGTAAGCATGAAACATTCAAGGTAACTTGATGAATAATGAACCATAAGAAATAATTCACTTTTGTACATAGGGACATGACCATAGCTTTAGTCATAATAGAAACATAGGGCTATGCCGCGAGGGACTACAAAAGCTGCACGCTTTTGTTAGGGTATAATTTTGCGTAGGAGGTTTCCAGGGAACAGGCGTGATCTGGTGCAAGAAAGTTCGATGTGATTGGCAATATATACTTCTTTTTCCATTGTCTTAGGCGACTAGGGTTAGAAGTTAACGGCCGGGGAAAAGGGGCGTGACTCCATTTTCTAGCGCCGGAGCTGCGACGTGGGGGGCCCTTCATGCTCAGCGGGCGATTATCCGTTTATTCATGGCAGAACGGATGGGATCCCGCGTTTTCTAAGACCTCTGGTCGTATATATAGAGAACGCGCATTGTTATATCTTATATTCCACGCAGATGCGACTCCTTTAAATTCAACTTGCGTGTACTCCTTCCACCCAACAGCGAGGCTCCGCAATAATGAAGTGGGTGGTTTGGAGCTCGTGTGGTGGTAACACATGTTAAATGAATACTGTCGCAAGTTTGAGCCCATATCCAGCGCCATCCTTTTCATGAGTTCGTTGCCTCGAGGCCGTGCCTAATGCCGACATCTACCTTTCGAGGTAGCCGTCCTTTGGAGGCAACAACGACGTATGGGTTGCCGATCAACAACCCATAGCCATAGACGGATGGCATAAGAGTATACCAAAGAAATCTTGTTCGACATGGCCATCACGAGCCCCTACGCCATTGAGAGATGTCACATATAGTAAGAGCTACTACAAACTTGTGTCATGGTTGACCGCAGAGTGAAGTTCACCGTTCCATTTTCCGCTCCCGGCTTCCCTTGGTGGTGCGGCTATTTCTTGCCAATGGGTTCCATTCAATGTTTTAAGTGCGTTCCTCATGTAGTGTACTGAGTTATTAGTTCGCATGTGCGTCGAACTATTAGTCTATAATACAACAACTCCAGTTGCAACCTTCGTTAAGTCGTTCCACCTCCAGTTGAATTATGTTAAATTTCTTATATCCTAGCTGTCAATAATGCATTTTCCATTCGTAACGCAAAGCTTGAGCTGCGTAAGCGTCACCTTGGCGGGTATAGTAAGATTGGAGAGAATTGTACGCTTCGAGTATACGTGGATGTTCCATGGAGTTCTGATGAAGAGCTAGATCAACTGCACGTCTGTAGAATTGTTCGGCATGGGAGGTTCGGCCCATGAATTCCTGTATAGAACCCGTCACTTGCATAATGTCCATCTCAAGGTGGATTTTAGATGGTCTCGTTCTCCTGAGGGTATCCTGGTCAAGCCGGCGCAACAGTGTATCGTACTGAGTGGCGATAAATGTGCCATGGTCGACGTAAAGACTCGGAGATGAGGACAGCCGAGCCCAGATGTGCCAATGCATCCAATGGCTGCTATTTTCGGTTGAACGGCTGCACAATCTCGCGACCGTCGCCGTTGTCACATCCTGGACGCTTTCAGGATCAAGTGTGCCAGAAAAAATGGCGGCTGCAAGGCTCCCTGGGGACGCGTGATCCTCGATTAAACTGAGCTGCGCTTTCATGATTGGCTCAGCAGCATCACGAGCTCCTGATACACCTATGTTGCGTATACTAGCCCAGAAAGCCGCAACAGGATGCGAAGGCCCAAGCTCGATGTGACACAGCTCAGATATGAAGTTGAGAAGTAGCATGGCCAGGTCCTTCCCGATGGCAGCAAGCTGCAGAATGGCCGTATAGGAGCAGTGTATCAGGATTGCGTCATCCCTTTGCAGAATCGACCGGTACTGCCCGCAACATTTGCTCAAGGCAGCGAATCCTGCTTCAGTCTCTCGCCCGTCCTTCACTGCTTGTGCTGCTAACTGTATCTCAATCCACCAAATCCTCGTGCGGTCGGCGCCAAGATCATGATCTGTCAAATTCCATCTCATCGTCTCAAAGGAAGCTTTCGAGTAATTGACGACTGCCCACAGTGCTGCCTCACTGGACCGGAGGTGATCTGGAGGTTCGATTCGCTTGAGGCCGAGATAAACCGGTGGATTTGGATTCAAGCCAGTCTCGACGCCCATACAATGCGTTGAACTCAACTCCTTCTGGGTATTGAGGGCCATCTCCCTTTTAGATACAAGCTGCCGCTGACACATAACTGGTACGTGGTCTTGGGGCCCTTCGACGGGGGTATGCGCAAAACCTTCAGCCTCGCAGGATTTCAGATATTTTCTGAAGCCCCATGTCTTGAGCCGGGCCTTATACATCCTCTCGCTACACCAGGTGTCAGTTCAGAACATGCCCAGCAATCCCCCCAATCAGTCGTGACCTACGTCGCTTGGAATGAATACTGCTGGTGCATTATTTCCTTGACCTCTCGCAGTGTTTTGCCGCAAGTCAAGTAGAAGTAGGCGATCAATCCTTTGTGTGACTCCCACTCTGCGGCCGCTGTGGCCCATGAAACGTTCGACTGCATTGGACCGGTCCGTGATCAACGATCGTGCCCCCTCCTAAAACACGAGGACATCTCATGGGCGAAGCGACAAGGAGCTGCGCACCTGCCGGGCTCCGTACGGCATTTGGGGAACAGTCGCACCTACTGCTACCTCATGACACTGATCGCATTACTGACTCGCAGTTGTGATATGCGTATGACGTTGAGGACTAGGCAGTGGGCAGTGCAAAAAACAAATGAAATTGGCCTGTGCAGCATCGGCTAACTTATCCACATCCGTGGTGGGGTGCCCCTGGCACCGAGATGGCCCTAGCTGTGACTCGGAATCCGCTCACAATCTCGCGTCACTGTCTATGCTGCCGTTCCAGAGGGAAGTTGAATGCTGGCCTAGAATATGAATCCTGAGCGACTCAACAGCCCGAACACATTGAGGAGACCTGGCCTTCCCATGCTCCTTCAGCCTGAGGACCTACATGGCGCACTTCAAGTCAGGTCTAGCTATCCCACATCAGTACCTAGCTAGTGAGCACATGCAATTTTGACAATTTTGGCCTGTCACGAATATGCCATGGTTGATATATCCTACGTACGAGTACTCATTATTTCAATCAATTGAGAAAGTGCAGATAGAAGCAAGTGAAGAAACCAGGTACCCAGCCACACAAGGCGCACTCCACACCCAGATAAAGCCAGAAATACACCCCCAACTCTCGGGCGCTGTTCCATGCCATGGTCACTGTGGACTACCAAACAACTGTGCCCTATCATATGATCTAGTAGGCATTGACAGCACGCGGAGTTTTGTATGGACAACTCCATATTGATCGCATATCCTTAAGCAGCCAATTTGGGCCTTGCCTGATTCGGCTTGCTCTTAAACTTCTGCGCAGGTCGCTGTATCGCGTGCCGACATGGGCCCAATTCTTAAGCTAGGAAATAAGGTTCGTACCAAAAAAAAAAGGGGGTGGGGTTCCAAACTTGTTCTGGCACTAGTGTGAAAGCTGGACTGGGGCGTACGGCAGCGTGAATATTCCCGACAACTTGCTTGAGGCTGACCTTATGGTCTTGGCATCAGCTGCTGAAATCCAATACGAGTCCACGTTTCCTAAGTACGGCATATCCGAGTCCGACTAGGCGGATCGAACGGTATTGATGCCAGTGTAGTTGATCTCAGAGAAAGGTTTAGTCCACCTTACGGATATCGGCTTTGGTCTGCCTCCTGGTTCTTTGTTTTGGTCTGTTGGATATCATTTTGACCGTCGGCCAATTGCCTGTGGAGGCTCCACCTGGGCCCTTCACTTTATCCTGATTTCCCGCCAGACCTGTGTTCTCAGTGGGCTCCTGGTAGGTAATGTCATACTGGAGTAAGTCGGTCCTAGCGCTGCTTGCCGTTTAGCAGGCGGTTATGTCGTTCGCAGACTCCCCATGTGCATGAGGTAGCCACCCATATACCCTCCTCGCTGCACGCTCACTACCCTGAAAAGTCCTATACTACACTGATTAATAATCGATATCGTCAGTGAAGCCCTTAATTAACGCAGAATCTGTTAAAATGATCCATCGAATTCAACGACGGCCCACGAGCAACGACGCGCGCTATCAGTATTCATTACCGCATTGCCGAGCGAATCGTGTCAAAGCCATGTTTGCCACGTGTGACCGCAGCCCACCATAGAACACGAATAAACCGTCTCATTAAGATGAGTTCTCGTTTCTTGATGTATGTGAAAGGTACAACCCCGATTGACGATCGAATAGTCATCCTGGAATAACTCGGGGTAGATCCGCGGAGATCCAGTTAGAAATCACAGCTGGTGTATGACTATACTTGTAACTGGGCTCTTTCACGGCTGCAGCTGGATGACGTGGGTTTCAAGGAACTCACAATATCACAATATGAAGAGAAGAGCTATAGTCAAATGTGGGTATGAAAAACCGACGTTGTCCCAAACGGAATCAAGCAAATCCAGTTTGATGTGATGATTCAATATTGAAACAAATAAACAGACATATTAATGAATTTACACGTCAGTAAACTTTTAGCCATGTAACTCTGAGATAGCCATTATTGCCCGCGGGCTCTTTCCTGCCTGCAATTCCTGCTGACTGTGTTCTCCACTGTTTTGTGGCGACAGATAGTTGTAATTGCTCGGATGAACAGTCGTGCTCTCCGATACACTAGACAGCTGGTCGCCGGTGGAGTTATAAGTAGCGTATGGGGATTGCGGCGAGGTAGTGCTCGGGTGGGGACTGTTATAAGGACTGAGATGCCTCATTGATGCTGGCGACTCATTCACTGGAAGCTCTGACTTGTATCCAGACACCGTCGGCCCTTGCATCACATCCGCCGGTAGTTCGGACTTGAAGCCAGAATATGTGTTGGTTTCCGGAACATAGGCCCATGGTTTGGGTGAAGGTCGATATGGACCAGCAGCAGAGTGCTCACTCTGCTCAGTGGGGCTGTGTTTCTCCTCTTTCTCCTTCCTTTTCCGTCGTCGGACAAGGAGACCAAGCAAAATTACAGCGATAATCATCAATACCGCTCCTGCAGCCCCAACGCCAATGCCAGCTTTGGCTCCGGTTGACAAAGTATTGCTCGTCGTGTCCCCAGTTGTGGGCATCGCACTAGTTGGCGTTGGCTGTGAAGATGAGGACGTTGGGGTGGGTGTGTGTGTCTTGATTGATGTGATGGTGGTTTTGGTCCCTGATATATCGGCAGTCGTGGTGATGGGAGCGTAGACAGACATGGGATTGAATCCGCTCGTCCAAGAAATACTTGCACCAGTCCTATTCGGCAGTAAAGCGAATGCTGGCAGTGCGGACTCCCCTTTGAAGACGGGTGAGCTACAGTACGGATCGCAGCTCTGGTGCGGGAGCTTCTCTAGCTCTGTAGAGTTCGCTGGTGCTTTACATCCTCCCCATTCGGTGATATCATCATCCCTATCTTTGTCGCATTGCTGGATTGCTACCCACTCCTGCGTGTTGAACAGCGTTGACTTCCAAGGGCAGGCTCGAGAATTGAAACCGCTATCGGTACATCCCGCTATATACGTGTTCCCACCTAAAGTAGCTCGTCAGTGACACTTGTCTATACTCGCTTGCTTAAACGTGACTGACTGTCTGGGTCCCAGCACGCATTCGCATTATCAAAACTTAGGCAGTAATCGCCCATGTGACAACAAGGCCAGTGCCCAAGGGCTGCATTGCCACATGCAATGAAGTCGCCCTTCGTTTCTGTGTTCTCCGTGGAGTAGCATGTTCCATTAGATATGTTGGGATCTGCACCGCCGTTCATGATTGTAGAAATAGGAGCAAGAATATCATCAACATGTAACAAGATCTGGATTTAGCTGCTCTATGCGAGGTTGAAAGAGGCAAGTCAATCTAGAGCGACGAGAATGTCTTTCTTTAGTGAAAAAGGATAAGGGGAGGCTGGGCCTCCGACCATAACATCCAATGCAAATCATCAGAGCCGGGGGAAACTTAGCGCCCCTGCAGCTTATAGCCGTCTTCGTATCATCGCGCTATATCGTGGAAACAGGCTGACCAATAAGAGGGCTCGATGCCATGTAGGAGGCATTGGACGAGCATCGTAAAGACTATATGATAGGCTCAGGTACTGGCTCACTGCATACTCTTGTCGAAACACCCATGTACCCCCCCATAAGCCATGCAGGTCAGCTGCAAGCCCATCTCAGCTGTTTGAGATAGCCTGTCTCAGATCCCCACAGGGACAACAGTATCTCGGGTGTGCCCCTCAACAGCCATAGTACTGACCGATTTGATGTATTGCGCTGTGCCTTACTTGTGCTAGTTACTCCATCCCCTATTATGTCCTACGTCTTGATGCCCATCAGCAGGACCCTCTACGGCGTAGTCCGAAGCTTCGTCACACCGAAAAATGGCATCTCCTCTTTGGGAGGAAGACACTTGTCGGCTGCCGTGCTTACGTGCCAAGCCTGCATCTCAGTCCAATGAGAGGTCACAACGATCAACTTCAATGACCGCACAATCAGCTCACCCCTTGTACTTAAACAAATGGGAGTTTATGCAATCCGCACTTAATCACTAGAGACCCAGACAGCCAATGAGGTACAAGCGAGGAAGTGAATGGTCAATTAGCGTAATTTTGAAGATATTACCCATATCGTACAGATTATATCCCACCGAGAGCCGTTAACTCAGCACACCAATTGTCAACGCGATAAGCGTCAGTTCGAGTTACGAGCGAGCTTTTAGTTGTGCCCATATTAAGATCTCCATGGCCATAGACGACTCCGAGTCCATTTCCGCTTGATGCGCATATCACGCTCTGTTTCATTAGGCCTTTAAATACCCACTCCGGTCACAAGCAAGCAGTATGATCCATGGATTGTAGACACTAAGCTTTTAAAACCGGCAGCGATTATTATTGAGTCTCAAAAGTTCAGCCTTTGAACCAGGTCGACCGCCAGGACTTCAAAGGAAATACCTGGAAGTGAAGCGCTGGAATAACGATGCATACGTCGTGAAGACAAGTACCGAGGTTCCCGCACTTCTAGAGGCTGCAAAGCACTCAATCAAATCCCGAACTTTCCATGAATGCCCTACATAAGTTAACTGTCCTCATCAGATCATGTTCCATCAAATAGGATTGAGTGTAATCTATTTTCGCCGTATTCCTGCTGCCACTAGATGTCTCGACATAATCAACCTTGCCGCAAGGTACTGGAAAGCTCTTCCGGGGCAGATATCCGTTGGGTCGGGACTTTGATGTCCATCCCGTTACGGCGTCGCACGGGCTAGGAAGTAGTAATGGGGTTCCCTTCCGATGCAATGCCTTCTTTCTCGGAAGCGTCTGCCAAGCTGACAGAAGTCGATTTCAACGTTATATGGCAGTGACTAAGCTTATTCTGTTTTGCTGTCCTGTCGCGCGGAAACTGGCGACTCTCTTGGGTATGGTTCAATTGTAATCGAGTCTTCGCTCGAACAACTGGAAACTCCGATGACTGCTAACGAAGGAGAATGAGAAAGTATTTCATGATGGCAATTGCAACGTTGGACAATGTGCAAATATGCGCTCAGCCATATTATCTGGTGGGATCTAGAACAAAGTCTTTCGACAAAACGAGCCAGGTATCTTGTATGGTTTTACGGCTTTGATAGCAGAACTTTACAGCCATCTTAATTTGGCAGTACTACTGCAAGTCCCTTAGTAGGGTTCCTGCGATATCTGTGGCTATGTTACTGCCCAGATTTGATGGAGCTACTTTGCCCGCTTCTTTTCTCTGGCAGGCGGCACTTTTGAAGATTAAAAGCACACAATGGAAGTGATATGTGAACTTTGATGCGTCTGTGCCGCATGAAGGTTCTGATTTGACTCGTGACGTGTGAATTTTGAGACTTGCGGGCTCGTTTTACGCACGGACAAGGATCACTTTAAGTTCGTATCGTCCCGTAGCCCATGGAACCGTGTCAGGTATCTACTGACATATAAAGCACTCAGAAGGACCGATCCTTGAAATCGGGTTCATGGACCAGGAGGTTGAAAACCGACACATATCAACATGAGGCCAATATGGTCTTTCGTCTGCGTTGCTAGCTTTCTGCGAGGAGCCTCTGCAACCACTGATATTAAACGCTCAGCCGAAGGGAATTACGCCTACCTGAGCATATACGAGAACATTGGCTGCTCTGATGAGGATCAAATAGGAATATGGGAGGTACTCACGTCGGACCTGGGCCAGTGCAGGCAGTTCTCTGATCTTCCAGTGCGGTCATTGGTACTAACTGACCACGACAAAGACTGTGTTTGTAAGTTACTCAAATGCCATGAATGAATGATCGAATATGCATCCAACCTGACAACCACTTTCGTAGTGAGGGTGTTTACAGATGACAACTGCGAAACCTCGGCGCATCGGCCAACCAAATCTCATTGCATGGGAAACCAACGACGGTGGTTAAGCTTCACCGTCAGTTGCTGATGTTTGGTCCACAGGAACACGCAGAAGCACGAGGAGAACTTATGCGTGAAGAGAAGACAGGTTCGTTACAGGAATGACACTTCGTCAAGCAGCATGGAAGTGGGAATGTGGATAAGTTGGGGCTGGAGCGTGGTCCAGGGTGGAAAGTAATCAAGTAGCAACGTCCCATTTTTGCGACAGATCACTTCGTTTACTCTTCGATCGGCTCACAACCCCAATCAGTGCGATTAATATAATTAAAAGCGCGATATCAAGTCAATGAAGCGTGGCGGCGAGGTGTTTGTCTATCGCAGACGATGAAGTGGTTGTACGTGCGTGCGACTGACTGTGGCTTGCTTCAGTGGGCTGTGGCTGGTGATGAGGTCATTGATCGTCACGGGACCACACAGACAAACAGACTCTGCGATACAACCTTCAGATGCGCGTAGGGTCTTTCTACAAAATGATCAATGTGTCTCCGCTTGTCGGCTTATATTTCCCATTGCGATAGTCCTAAAAGATGGCAAGCAATAGCCCTCCACCGGGGTTGCGCTGGCGTTCCAATACCTTCTTCATCATCGCAACTATCGCATTGGGCCTATTCACAGATCTCTTCCTGTACGGGCTTGTCGTGCCCGTCCTCCCTTTCGTCTTGCGAGATCGATTATCCATTCCGGAAGATCAGATCCAATCATACGTTTCAGGGCTACTCGCAGTCTACGCTGGAGTTCAGCTTCTGTTTTCAGTGCCCATCGGATGGCTTGCAGATCGCACCAGGTCGAGACAGCTTCCATTCCTGTGTGGTCTTGCAGCACTTCTGGCGGGAACTGTTTTGCTGGCTGAGGGTAGAAGCATTGTTCTTCTGATTGTCGCGAGAGCTCTGCAGGGTATCAGTGCAGCGGTGGTGTGGACCATAGGTCTGGCGATGGTGTTGGACACCGTTGGAACCGAGAATTTGGGCAAAACCATGGGCACGGTAGGATTTTCATAACCACACTCCACCACGATTATCCCCTAACGTGTATCTAGATATTTTCGACGATATCCATAGGTGAACTACTGGCACCCGTGCTTGGGGGCGTTCTGTATGACCAAACAGGGTATGGAGGGGTGTTCGCGCTCGCAACCGGGATATTGGCCCTCGACTTTATTATGCGACTTCTCATGATCGAGAAGAAAACGGCTGCCAAGTATAACCTCTCGGATGTGGCTGGTGCTACAAACCCACGCGAGCATGGTACGAGGAACAACGGTGGCGAAGAAAGAGAGCCGACAGAGGAGGATTCCTTACTTTCGAACAAGAAGGACGACACATACAAGATCGAAAACGAACAGAGCAAGTTGGTCAGATCCTTCCCAATCATTTACTGCTTCCGTAACCCAAGGCTGCTCACTGCGATGCTCTTATCTTTCGTCCAAGCTACGCTGCTTGCTGTGTTCGACGCGACCATCCCTACAGAGGCACACACACTATTTGGTTTCAATTCATTAAAAGCTGGTCTTCTGTTCATCGCTTTGGACATCCCCTACCTGGTTCTTGGGCCACTGGCTGGATGGGCCGTAGATAAGTACGGCACCAAACTCGCAGGGGTAATTGGGTTCGCCTACCTTGTCCCAGTGCTAGTACTACTTCGGCTCCCGACCGAGGGTCTTGCGACGGGAACTAATAATATCATAATATATTGCGCAATCCTTGCACTCAATGGGATTGGCTTAGCAGTTATTGGTTCTCCTAGCTTCGTCGAGGCAAGCGAGGTGGTTCAGCGGTACGATAAGGCCAATCCGGACTTCTTCGGAGCAAATGGACCATATGCTCAGCTGTATGGATTCAGCTCAATGTTCTTCTGTGCAGGGCTCACCATTGGACCTGTTGTTAGTGGTTCTCTTAAGGACTCCATTGGGTACGGGAACACCAACGCGATATTTGCAGTCGTCTCGGGTATGGCTGCTGTGCTATCATTCATCTTCATTGGTGGCAAACCGAGTCCACTCTCTCGAAGAGCTTAGAAGATTTCAAGTTATAAATACGATATTAAAACTTTTTAAATAGAAGTATCGAAATGAGTTCAGGGCGACTGAATTGCCAGACAATACATAGATGTTTCTCGTGTCTTTCATTGTTCATACGCCGAATGTGCCTTGGTCATAACGTTGACTGCGGAATCGATGCATATGGGTTCTAGCACGCCAAGTCGAAGATAGGTGTACTGTTTTCGATCGGGGTGACCGCGAATGAGATGTCAGTCTGAGCAGTGTTGGCGTCCTTTAACGTGTACCACCACGTATTGCGTTGTCCAAATAGTGTACACCCAACCTCACGCCAATATCTCCTCGCATTCTCCAGCGAAGCCACTGCTGCTCCAGAATTGGGTCCAACTAGCAACTATATTAACAAGCGTCCTTTTACCAAAAACGGAGCGAACGTTAAATGCTACTCACCATGAGGCCAACCCGTCTCTGTAACCCATACGGCCTTGCCACTGGCTACACCCTCGGTGTTCGCGACTGCGGTCCGGAAGTTCTCCGCAGCTTGATCAATCGAGTTTGGCTTGGTCGTCTCAAAGTACGGGAACGAGTTGTGACCCAGCCAGTTGACGGAGTTTGCAACGCCGCGGTTCTCGGGCAGGATCCACGCAGTCCAAGTATCAACGTGTCCGATGGGCTTGTTCTCCAGCAGGGTTCCCTTAATCCAGTCGCGCATCCAGCCGATGTACCCCTCGATTTCGGCGCCTGTCGCGCCGGCCCCGGCGTTGTTCGCTTGGCCTTGTGCACTGCTTCGGTATAGATCCTCGGATCCCACACTTATGCCGATAATGCGATCCGTGAACGGTGTACCAAGCTCTCGGGCGCCCCGAAGCAGGGCATTGAGCTCATTCGTGTAGGCATCTCGGCCTGCGCTGGCCCAAAGGCCAACTAGTATCGACGTGTCCGTGTCGATCGCGGCCCGGAAGGCCTCGATAGGGTCGGCAGCGGTTCCGCACTGGACAGATGTATAGAGCCTGGCTGATGCGAAACCAGGGGCACCGGCTAAGTTCTTCGCCTGATTGAAGAAGTTCACAAAGTCGGCATAGTGTCTGCATGAACCGTCGTTGTTCGTTGAGCCGTAGTTGAAACCTTGTAGCTGAGCAGTGGCAATTCCCGTCACGCCCAGTAGGGATACTGTATGCAGAAGCTGCATGATTGTTCCCCTACTATCCTGTAAAAGATTGGAGTCAAAGTTCTAAAAGAGTAGTTTTGCAGAGCTTGCGATTGAGGATCGCCTAAGTACGTGATATCGCAGTCCAGATTCTCACATTTTCCTCGACAATGGTCTGGATTACAAGTTTTATTTACACGATCCCAACAAAACTTCCCAGTCCTCTGCATGGCAATCGAGATGACGTACATAAGCTGAATGAGGCTCGTATTCCCCAAGCCAAGACGGCTCGTCCTTGATGATCAGTTCTATTTGATTGGCCTACTAATTGGAGAATGGTGTTGTCGCATTCGACGTACCGAACGCCACCCGCGTGTTCGGGGGCAGGCATGAAGATTAGGCGACAATACCCGCAAACGTTACGTTGGAGTACTTGGCAACTTGGCCGACAGTTGGGTGATACACCGCGCACCGGTGCTTTTGGGGGGCTCGTAGCACGTTCTTGAGGTGACACGAGCTTCTGTTGTGCTCCGAGAGGACATTGGGCACAGGCGAAAACACTATGCGACGAGAGTCTCCGTAGCAGCTCAGTTTGGCAACGGAGATTGTTTAAGACTCTTCGGAGTTGTCGCATGCGCCTAACTTATAATGTAGAAAGGGACTCGATCTTCAGCTCGTTCAGCTGGTCGCCCTGGAATGGAGGCTGGCCCGCTAGATTGGGCACTGCTGCAGCGTGTTGGGCGCTTCCCCATTCCCCTCATGCACTAAACTACCGCTTCAGACCCTGGAAGCCTGCGTTGGGCATTTAACTTAACACTCTCTTGATCTTGTGGGCTGCCTACGTATAAGGCCAGTATTTACGAATGCTTTCTGTGCAACTGCAGTCAGTTCGCTGTAAGTCAAAATTACATGAAAATATTTCAAGTAGCGAGTTGCATTGAACAAAATGCATGGCTTGCATGACTAGTTTTTGCAGAAGGTAAGGTTTATTTATGGGATATGTTAATTCTCTTTGGAAATGAGACCGAAGAAATAAGGCGGCGCTAGATCTCCAGCTGCCTTATCGTACAGCTAGCAAGAAAATGATCGGTTTCGCAGCCAGGAAACCTCTCCAAGAGCTCCAGAACCATCGTTCGGCCGACCGGAATATTTAAACACTGATAATTTCATGGCTTGGGCTGGTGAAACAAAATGTAGGCCTGTTGGGTTTCTACGTGGGCACGACTATCGTACCGTGGATTTGATCGTGGTTTATGGGGGCAAGCTGGCAAGACGACCCGTCGCCAGCAATTGCGTGCGCACGGAATGACATCCCCATTGACGCGGGGCATCTTGTGAGAACATAGCACTTGGAAATCCATACCGGACAGCTTCTCACAATATTCATCATCGAAAATACATTTGTGTATACCCTTCGCCATCCTAGAAGTGATTTATGACAATCAGCCGATGATGAAAAGGCGTGTACTCTTTGCCTGCGGATTTCTACTGTCCGCGTTGCCAGCTTCCGTCAGCATCCCCACAGAGCAATGGGTCCTTGACCCCACCAAGAACCCAAGCGCCTCGCCTCGTCGGTACAAAGGTTCGTCAAGAGTACGTTATTTCCGCCGGGACCCATAACTACCGTCGGTGGTAAAGTGATATTAACCTTATATATGTATTTCCCAGCGAAGCGTGGCCTTTTGATGACCGCTTTGCGCCCAACAACAAGGTTGGGAGGAAATCATCAATGACTGGTAAACGTGGATAATGGCCGATGGTATGACTGATAGCTGTCTACCATTTGCTCGAGCATACCCATGGGAATGACTTCTGCCATTTTCAATCTACCTCTCGGGGTCAAGATTGTACAGAAGCAGCCCACGATCTTACTGCGGAACGATGCTGGTTTAGAGTTGTGAGACTCTAATACGACCTATGTCATCACGCTCACAGATCCGGATGCGCTATCGCGGGAGAATCCAGAATGGGCTGAAATGTGTCACTTTATAGCAACTGGTGTTCGACTGTCGTTCTCGTTAAGTGACGGGTGCTCCAAGGTAACCTTGACCGATCTTAAGGATATCATACCGGATAAACCTCCCGGTCCGCCGCCGAAGACTGGCAAGCATCGATACGTATTTCTCGCATTCGCTTCAGCAAATGGTACATCTGAGCCACTGAATTTGACCAAACCCGATAACAGACAGCATTGGGGCACAGGAAAAGAGAGACATGGGGTTCGAGCTTGGGCGCACGCGAATAGGCTGGTTCCTGTCGGTACGTAAAAACTGGTCTTGTGGTGTGTGTCGATAGTAATTGCTCACGATTTCGCAGCTTCCAATTTCATTTATGCTCAGAACGAAGAACAGTAGGCCTTCGCTTCAATTTGACGTTCTCTAGCGGCGCAATCAGGTTTGTCGGCAAGCCTTGTGGGATCCCAAGATCTTGGTAAATTACTGGGTCGCAGCAGGGAGCACACATTCGGCTAGGATACTGCTCACGAATCATGTCTACTTACGCTCTACTCCTGAATGGAACTAGTCGATAGTCAGTCGGCTGTGTTCCAGAAAACGAGATAAGATTTCGATTCTGGCTGGGCGAATGTCATGACTACCCTGAGTCCCTGGCCCCCTGCACCCGTGTCCCATCACGACTTGAATCATGCAATGTGTATTGACTCCCTTTTCACTACACAGCATGTAAATGGATTCTCAAACCTTGACAAGCTGCCGTTTGGACTCCCACATTCCGGGCCATAGAGAGTTTGAACGGCACGTGGTTCACCGAAATAAACCTCATTCATCGCATATATGGCCGATTAGCTTTCGATTAGCCCGGTCTGGCCAAACGTGCTGCCTCGTGGTTCCAGGCAGGCCTGACAGGGCTGAGTACATCCGCATGAAAACCACGGGTCGATGACGGATTTCATGGCACGTCACCTAATCTCTCAGTGCTTAACTCAATGCTCGCTCGGCTAGGCCTTCACTACCATTCGTCGGTCCCGAAATTACCTAGACAGATGCACTAACTAGCTCACTTTCCGTATTCCATGAAGGGGATCCATTGATACTAATATGTACTACGGCATCCGGGATCACTGGTCAAAGAGGCAGTTTATAGCATTCAGCTTCTGGAAATGCGAACACCTTTAGGCCGTGTTCTTGCATGACCCGCAAGCTCTGATGGTCAACGTAGACACTGAGTAGACATCCTGCGTTAAGACAAGAACAACTTTAGTCATGGCCATTGCTCTCTTTAGACCAAGAATAATCTGATATTAGCCCGTGAATACTTCGGACGGCTTATTCGGAGTGCACCCGAGGTTTTTGCGCCATATCACACGGTTGGGATACTGATTCGGGCCTTTCGACAGGCCAAAGGATCATATGCGTCCTCCAAAAGGCTGCTATCTGTTTAGTCTTGGGCCCGGCCTCGACGATTGAACTCCTGAAAGGCCACGTACAGGGAGTAACGCCGGGGACAGTTGCCAACCGTAGAACCGCGAGTCAATTCCTTTAGGGCAATCCACTATGCCCCCGTGGCGATGCCAACACCAAGCGCACTCAAAACCCCATTGACTGGATTCTGTCCCACGCCAAGCAGAAAAGTTTGCGCCGTCAGCCGTGGCGTACGTTAGTTCACCCGTTGTGCACGTACCCTTCCACGACCTACGAGTCTGCCCAAGCAGCTACAAGCTTGCTAGCTAAGCCTCTCGGATGAATCTTACTCCAATTGCTGTAGGAAGCTCTGTCTTGTTCGTTAGCTCTCCGGGATCACTCACCGAGAATGGTATGCTAGCAGTGCCCACGCGGCCGGTCGTACTTGGGCCAGGGCTGGTCAACGTCCTTGGGCGCCGTCGGACGTCGATGGCTGAGGAACTTTGCGACCGGCACGATGACCGTTCATGGATTGGTGCTGTGGTTCTGATCCCCCGCTATTGAATGACAGCGGAGACCTCGCCAATGGAGGCATTCGTGAAGCGATCTCCCGCAGACCTCAAGAACGCGGGCCGGGGTCGCGCACCACAGATCCAGACCTCGAAGTCCGACTCGACGGAGCCGGCCCCTGACTCCATTTGATAGATTTAGGTTTCGGCACTAAAATATGCGGGCTGGGCGTGGGCATCTGTGGATTAAATGTCGTCAATTTCCCTGGGGAAAGGGGCCCATCTCGATCGACTGCTCTCGGGCTATCTCGTAATGAATTCGGCATACTTATGCGCCTCGCCTACCATCCCCAGAGCTGTGGCCGAAACTTGATGACCTCGTCCACTCCAAGTTGTCCACTCGCTGGGGCAGTCATTCATTACAACCAGCCATGTCAGCCCTTATTGCGGAATCATGGACGTGGTACGCCCTTTGCTGGGTCGTAGTCCTTGCGCGAACGTGAGCCAAAACCCCAGATTCCACAGCCGCAATGGGCGAACCCCACAAGATCGAGAAAATGCTGATATTTGTCCATTTTCAGCGTTTCGCGAAGAATCCTGCATGGGTCGTTCAAGAAGATTCAAACGGATGATATCCTCATGCTGGTCGCTATGGTATGCAGCCTTCGAAGATCTTGAATCCATGTATTTTCAAATCGATTATGCTAACGGCTCACAGGTTACTGATACCGTTTTGATTGCCTGCATGAATATCCTAGGAACTACGAATACCAATCTAATTGATCCTAACGACACCACGGTTCTCACGCCTGAATCTATCGTTGAGCGAACGTATGGATCGAAGCTTGTGTTGGTTGTTGAACAGATGCAGATCATCACAGTGTGGTTGATCAAAGCCTGCCTCTTGATCATGTACGGTCGATTGACGTGAGTTCCATAGCCTTACATCTATCTATATCCATATGTCTAGCCCGAGTCTAACGAAGAGAACAGGATGAGCTTGAAGCAGAACTTGGCCGTCAAGATTGTCGCAGGCTATGTCGCATTCGGTTTCATCCTGATGGAGGTTCTTTACTTGGGTGTTTGGTGCCGACCTTTTAGCGAATACTGGGCTGTTCCAACCGCTAACGGTATGTTGTGAAGCCCCTCTACGTTAAATGAAGTTGATTTTTCAGCATATGTTAATATTTTACAGCACAATGCTCTGCCGCCACAAACCATCTAATCACCAACGCTGTGCTGAACATATCTTCCGATATCATGATCATTTTGATTCCGATGCCTATTTTTCTCCAGGCTAAACTGCCAGCTAAAAAGAAGGCAATTCTGGTTGGGGTCTTCGCTCTCGGTGTCTTTACGGTATATTAACATCCTCTCATATTCTATACCTGCGTGCATGTAACCTAATTATTATTCCTTTAGATTCTCTCGGCCATTCTCAACAAATACTACAGTTTCAATGAACCATTTGGGTCAGCCTGGACATTCTGGTACATCCGAGAATCGTCGACCGCCATCATCACAGCAAATCTGCCCTTTACTTGGACTCTTCTACAGCGCACCTTCAACCTCCGCTCTTTCAACGGCAAATCTTCCAACGTGAGAACAAGTGAGGCGGCATCACGTGGTTTCAGGTCTGCGTACGGAAGAGGGACGAGCCGTCGGGTGTCTATCTCAAGAGGTCATGGGGTTGAGCTAGGCCCATCTGATAGCCAGGAGCAGATCAACAACTCATTCGGTATGCCGCTGAAAATCTACCACCAGACCGAAGTTCGTATCAGCAGTCACGAAACCGAAGGCAAGACCGAAAGAGTCTCGTCTCCTGAGACGCCGCACTCAACTGTAACAACGTTAAAGAGTGTTTTCCCTGGTGGTTCCACTGATGCGGAAACATCTTCGAATGAGTCGGATATTGGCGTAGTGACTGTCTGTCGGAAAGTTTAATTATAAAGGCTTATCTATTAAAAATTAAATATAAATATATAAAATATTATTAAAAACTTTTAATATTAAATAAATTACGTTTTATATAAAATTTTATTTTTTAATTAAAAATTATATTAATTATAAAAATTATAAATAATTTATATATTTATTAAAATTACGTTATTATATTTAATAATATATATTATAATATTAATAAAAAAATTATACGAAAGTGAATCCACAGGTATCAACCCCGCTTGTGAACGACCCACTTACAGAATATCTCTGGTAAGGGGAAGATGCAAGGCGATGATCATTACCGATTTCGAGATTCTGTAAGAAAATCAGCGGAAAATAGCTCAATGGTCGTTCCGCGTGGTTCATCAGATTTTCTTGCCTGCTGTTCTTAAACTCCTCCCTGTTGTAGAGCCCCGCCAAGTCAGCTCAGTAGAAATTACCGCACCGACCAGCTACTTCTGTCTTTTGATTCCATTGTTGACCGCCGTCTTAGTGACCGACTCACTCTTCAATTGGAACACCACCTGGACCCTAAACACTACCCCTATATAGTCTTTGAAAACATGCCAGAAGTTGCCGAGGCTCCTGTATTTCCTGTGCTGAGGGGCAAAGTTGCCATCATCACAGGGGCTGCTCAGGGAATGGGGAAGGCAACAGCTGCGATATTCCTCAAAGCTGGTGCTCAGGTTGTCATTGCTGATATCCAGGCGGAGAAGGGCCAAACTGTGGCAGACGAGCTGGCCACATTGGGAGAGATCACATTCATGCAATGCGACATCTCCAGCTCTGAGCAGGTTCAGAGCCTCGTCTCGAAGACGGTCGCCAAGTATGGAAAACTGGACTGCGCTGTCAACAACGCTGCTCTAACGCCCGACTCCACACCACTCGTGGATTTTGACGAGCAATACTGGAACAAGTTGATGGGTATTAACCTTTCGGGTACTGCGCTGTGCTGCAAATACGAGATGCAGCAAATGATCAAAGATGGAATCAAGGGATCGATCGTCAACATTACATCTATCAATGGTTTCAGACCTCAGCCCAGAATGCCGGCATACACATCAGCGAAGCATGCGTTGATTGGCCTTACAAAACATGCCGCGTCTGAAGGAGGTCCTCATGGAATCCGAATAAACGCGATTGCTCCAGGAGCAATCTTTGTAAGCCTGTAGAGACAAGTGCTTTGACAAGTAGCTGACTTGATGCAGACGGAGATGTCGGCAGCAGCGCTGGTGACCATGAACACCACCGAAGAAGAGTTTTCTAAGAGAGTCAGCTATCTTCAACGGTTCGCAATGCCACATGAAGTTGCACAAGGCTCTCTATGGCTATGCTCAGATGCTTCCTCCTACGTGACAGGCATTTCGCTACCTGTAAGTATACTTGAAATGCTATACAATCGCCATTAACTCGGGAGGATGTGGTTTAAAATTAACAACGGGAGACAAATTTGTAAAGCAGTCTCACGGGACTATCATTCGTCTTCTACTCACTTAAGGCTATGGTTACTTTTATAAGATAAAAGCTAACAACTTACGATTTAGATTGACGGTGGATATCTCGCTATGTAGTATTTGCGCATGGCATCAAAAGAGATCTTGCGTCTGCGACTGCCCTTCGGTGCAATGAGTTGCGGTAAAATGTTAAGGCCTACAAGGCTGTAATTATTAGATACTCTTGTAGTACTGCCGATGTTTCTATTGACGTACCAGAACCCATTATATACTAAGTCGTCTTGATATGGGTTTTTCTCTGCGCCGTAGATGTCATCGGGACTAGCCCTAATGACGATCTTACGTGTCCAGTCAAACAGCTGCATGGTATCCCCCTCAATGGCATCCTGAAACTTGGTGTGGCTGACTACTGCAGCTAGCATCGCTTGCGTCATTGCTCGGAGGTGCTTGCCAGGAGCAAGGGTATCATGTATGACCTTCAGTGTTTCCCGTCGGAGTTCCATAGGACCGTTGGATTCCAGCAGATCGTTGGCGAGAGGATCTAGAGCATGTCGACTTGGCTCAAGGATTCTCTTGGTAAATTGGACCACGTATGGTGCAAATGAGATCGTATCTGAGTGACAATCCACAGATGCAATAAGACTCGGCGTGTTGACCAGATAGATCTTGCTTCGAGGTACGCCGAGGGTATACCAGCATCAGCCTTGTTATTCGATAGCACTCGATGGTGTCAAAACAGACCTGATCATGTCATAGTAGCCAGAGCCATGTCGAATCATGCCAATGACATGACCGACAATAGGAAAGCTCGAGGGAATGAGTCGGGTTTCATTAGCATCGTGAGGAAGACCAAAAGAACGACATATGATGTAGAACCCCACGCAGGCGGCGACAGTAGTCAATGTTAAGATGAGCATGATGGAAAAGGCACTCAGTTGATTAGACACTTGAGCAGCCGTGAAAGATGCAACGGTTCGTTAATGTCTCTCACTTAGGTACCTGGCATCCTCACGTATACAAACTCGATATAAGTGCATAACCATTATGCGATTAAAAGATATATCAATTGCCAAGTTTGAGTGATATAATTGTACATGTACGGAGTACCCAGGATATAGCTCTTCCAATAACTGGCTGAATAACCGAGCGGACTTCTGTGTTAATTTCAATTTGGGGTCTATGTATGCAGGCATGCACAGTTGGGGCCAACACCTTGTAGTGCTGGAAAAGCATGATAGGTGTACGGCAACAGGTGTGAGTGTAATAAATGGAATGAGACGAGTCCTGGGACATGTTGGTTACAATGTGAACCAATGCAACCACACTGTGATAGCTAGGGGTTGGTTGTTTTCGACTGCGAACCCAAACGCAAAGTCTCGAGCTCTGCGGACCAACATTGTACCCATACTCTTCCACAACACTACCCAATTGAAGGCATCAAACAGAGCGAGCATGATTAGCCAACTTTTGCTGGGCTCTGCCCTAGCCTACACCGTTTGGAGCATTGCGTGCCTTGAGGCAAATGTGCGCAAGGCTCGCGAGTTCAAAGTGCCCGTCGTCCGACTGTCAATCGACGAGAACAATGTCTTTTGGATCCTTCTCCAGAGATCCGTTGTTTCGATAGGCTCCCCTTCAGTTGGTCTTCGTACCTTCGCTTTCTGTGCCTCTCCCGCCGAGGATGGTATTTCGCCGAGAGAGCAGATCCTCACCTGCAACTGGGCCCAGTATGGGCGCTCGTGTCGCCCATGGCTATCAATCTGCACTTCGCAGATCCTGATACCATACAAGACATCTTGATGCGACGCGGTGATTTCCAACGACCTACGAAAGAACTAAGTGAGTTACTACCACTACCACATGGTCTGATGTGAAGTCAGCTGACCAAAAATAGAGCTTCTGGAGCTCTATGGCCCATGCATCTCGACAGCCAAATGGGACGACTGGCCTCGCCACCGCAAAGTAATGGCCACATCTTTCAATGAATCCATTATCAAGTTCGTCTGGGAGGAGGCCCTCCGTCCATCCGGGGGCATGGTCCGGTCGTGGGCTGGTGCAACAGGAGCCGGAATCGAGAGTTATTAAAAGCATACCCGCACGCTCTCGCTCAATGTCCTTACAGCAGCTGTGTTCAAAACGCATCTTAACCGGAATCACGTGTAGATTGTCTGTATAATAGTTCTTTACAATGTCACCACTTTCAATTCATCAACGTGGCCGCTCAGTGTCTCTGGTCTCAGTCACGCATGACGTCGCACTGATTCAAACCCGGTACCTACTACGGTAAACATTTTGGTTTACTCCTATACCGAATCCATCCCCCCTCGTAGATGCAGGCATGGTCCTATAAAAGGCGGCATGCACCCAGTTTATTGCACTAGCGTGAATATTGCTTTCGTTCCAACCCATTCCGTAATCGCACTCAAAAATTTGAGTTACATACCAGGTGCGCAGTGTGTATCATTGTACGTGCAATGCACAATGGGAGTCTGCCGATAGCTATAGAACATAGGTAACATCATACTCAAGGATTGGTCTAGGAGACTAGAACCCAATAACCCTTGAGTATAGATCCATCGACATCTAACAACCAAGTTGACCCGCTTAAAGGGTGAAAATGATGACTTTTCCAGATCTACTGTCGTTCGGGACGTCTGCATCAGTTTTCTTTACAACAGCCCTCGGAGTCAACATGACGACACCATAGCCCAAACAACCGCCGAGTCTGCTAGTACATGAGGTTTTAACTTGGAACTATTACTGGTTCTGAGGACAGTATGATACTATCCGTTAGATGCAATCGAAGTGGGCCCACACTTCGGTCTTGACTCTTTTTGTGCTGATGTTTACAAAGGTATTGGCCCTGCGATTATGCATGGCCTTGCCAGTCGAAGATGCGGTGCACAAATTTCGAAGCCTAGGAACTTGTAAGAAGCTCAAGAAAGAATATATAATCACGGCCTTGACTTTAAAAGCTGATGCCAACAAGACGAAAGTATGTGGTAATACATTTTCGAATTGCGTAAGAGAGCTTTCAGTGACATTTTTATAGGAAGACTTTAAACCGACATTTATATACACAATGACCGCTATTGTGTACATAGGATCACTTCAATTTGTCATCATGGAGTTTTATTATATTACGCTGTTATCGTCCTGACTCCACCCTTCTTACCGTATCATGCCTACTGTACCTACTAACGGATAGATCTGGAAGAATTGCTATGAAATCCAGTTATCAACCCGAAAGTCAATACACCAAATACAACCCTATATGATCTGGCACAAAAGCCGCGCTGCAGCCGCGAGCTCGGTAAAAGAGCTGCTGCGAACGCCATCAACCATGGGCCAGTCATGATGGACGTGTACTTCGATGTACCTGAAGAAATTGAAAGGAGGCTGGCCTTATGGAACCAATTGACACTGCTTGCTCACGTACGCAAACCTTTTAACAATCCTGCAGTCGTCGAGTTGGGTGAATGTCCAAGAGAGGGTGGTATATGTGCTGAAGAGATTGCGTAACTGGCTGCAATTAACCCTTTGCTGCCCCGAAATCGGAAGGTGTATTAAAAGTCTGGCCAGCAACAACGGTGGGCTATCCTTCAGCTACTAAGCACCCCGTGAAGATGCTGTGAGACACCTAATAGTAGTCTATATGCCCAAAACTTCAATTGGATTAAGGCTTTACCTTGTGTAAACACTTTGCCGGCCATGTTATAAGTGGTACTTAATTATAAGAAGGCCACGTGTTTTGATGAGCCCGTCATTCATCTAGCTGCACTCAACCTCCAACCTCGGCCTGCAATCTAGCCATCGTATTGGACTTGCATTACCAGAAGTTATTTTCCCATTTTGATAAGGCAAATGGTAGCTCCAGCGTATTGCAGGCCGCTGTCGCCGGCGTGGCTACGAACCTGTCGGTTATAGGTGCCAAATTAGATTATTTACTCTATAAAGAAGGAAGGAAGAAGGTTTCCTCCTTTCTTGTGCATGTTGAGCTCCTCTCGCGAGCGGGTAACCTTCGAAGATTGCGGTGCGGGTATTATCGGCACCTAACCTACGGGCTTGGCCCGCAACAGCCGCAAATCATGCTTCGTGTTAGTACTCCCACTTCCACTCCGTCCTTCATGAGTCTGACGGTCTTTTGGTCTCACGTTAACGCAATCTGTCACCAAAGTTGCACAGCCAATGCAATGCGTCCCTTTAGACAGGAAATAATCTGTTGAGCCCGTATTGACTGCGTGGAGGTTGTTTCTTACCTCTATCTCACTACTCTGCTACCGCCGATATCTTGCCAATCATCGCCTCGATCTCGTCAATAGTAATTACAGGTTCCTTCTTCGTGTATCCCTCTGTAAATGGAAATCTCTCTTGTTCTACTGAAATCTTAGCTTCTTCAGTCCGCGTCAAGGAGGTCTCCTGAGAAATGGCTCACCAAAGAAGATCCTTACCCACTCTGTACGAGCGTTACCATCTACCCTATCTCCAAAAAGCATCAGATAGAACGCCGTCTCCGCCAGGCTGCCAGTATCTCCACTGGGCTGTGAGTACTCTGGGTTTGTTTCCTTTGCATTGGCGACACGATCCAATCTCGCCTTCGCTGCTGTCTCTATGCTAATTGTGTCGTTGCTGAAATGAGAGAACACCTGGCCCCAGATTGCTGGGTTTAAATTCAAGTCGTTCCCCCCGTGGAAGAAGTCATCCCGTGAGAGGGATCCGTCGTGTTCGATGATGTTATGTTTGGCAGTATCGGCAAGATTAAATGTGGAACTGTTGCCCGTTGTTGACGTGCTAAGAGCCAATAATATTATGTCCGAAAAGGCGCCAGGGTCAAAACTGTTAGATTGCAGGGCGTTTCTGAGCGTTTCTGCATCGATATCTTGGCCAGTGCGTGGTAGATAGCCATGGTTTGCCAGCGAGTTAAGCATAGGGCATGGTGCACGACCTGGGCATAATTAGCTGAGTTTAAGGATCCCATTAACCGAGCACAAACTATCCCCCGGGCTTGGGGCCTGCCACTGATTGCCTTGGGATTGGGCATATGTCGCAAATCGAGCTGTGGACAGCCAAATCACTCCTATATAACCTCGCATGTCAAAGAATTGCGATGAAACTTGTCAGGCAGAGGATGGTGGGAAGAGCGGCATGAATATTGGCCGGGAACTTCACAAGGGAGAGTTCGATTTGATTTATAAAAGACCCCTTTACTTTTAATACAATGTGTACGTTAACATACTAACGTATCGATTTAATGGAAACTAATCCAAAATGACCTGAAATTTGATTTTAAGAACGGTTTAATGGTTAAGATGATGACTCCTGAATCGTGATCCCGGGTGCCCGTATGCCGATGCTAGTATGCACGCTAAATCGATTAATCGTCCGACCCGTCGTGCATTTACTTACTCTCTCTAACCACAAGCCCTCTAGCTTTACCGATCAGTCCTTACCTTTATCGACCTATCGATTCGTTTAAAGAGTTAGAACAGATGCGTAAACTTAATACCTTATCTAACGAAGTAATAAGCCTCGATTGACGGAACTAGCATCGAAGAAATTTGATATTACGTATAGCCTTTTTACAGACCTTAATATAAGATCTAAGATAATTGTTATTAACTCCCAACCGAACGCTAAGAAATACATATCTAATCGCTCCCATTTGTAATAACAAAGACCATCGGGCCCGGATGGACGTTAAGGCATTATAATATATTCTACGGAGGGCTTTGTAGTTAAATCCATTTAAACCACCGCTCGATTGCAAGTGAACACATATTCTTGGCTATATGGATTCTAATGGATCGTGTTATATTATACCGCAATACGCCTTACACCTCTTATAGAAAATGTAACGGCCAAAGACATCGGCTTATCCGTTTCAGCCACCAAGTCGACTGCAATTATTTTTGTGCCAGATGTTGAGAAATTAGGTCACATGCGGTGGACATGTCCACTGCCCTCCACGCAGTATTGAGCAGCAACAGACGATCCACAGCCTGCGTATGACAATGAACAATTTCGTGGTGGCAGTCAGTGCAGTCAGTTCAGTGCGTATAGCTGATCGAGATCTCTATATGCACAGCAAACAATTGTCGAGGAGCTGATCTCACCTTCGTGAATTTAGTGTCAGAAGGCAGTCCCCAATGGCCGGCTTTCAGCATGTCTTCAACTGCGAACCTCACACGCTCGAGTTTCCAACCCAGCATCAGACGATCTTATAACCAACGCCAGTCCATGCAACAGTCAAGGTTTGGCCTACCTCCAGTAGCATTTTCAAAGGAGAGGAAGGTATGTGAATGAGTCACATTCCTAACTTGCTAGCAGGGAACTCGTAACGCAGCCGGGTTTGCCACTGGTCATCATTTAAATTGGGACTGTTGTTGGTTCTGGAAACCTAGGGTGGTGCTCAGCAATGATCACAGGGGCGCCTACGCCGCACGATCCTGGGATTTCGTGACCAAGCGCGGCACCCATTAACGTCCACACACCACTAAGCCCCTCTCACTAACTGGAATTTGCTACTAACAATCTGGCCACCTTTCGCGCGCTACTCTGCTGAGGATGTTAGCCGCGAAACATAGTTGTCAAGTTTTAAAGAGTCTCAAACATAAAGTCAAACACGTCATTCTATTACATTTGTTTTCTCTTTCTAATTTACATTCCACTTCAGTATAGTGACATCTTC